CATAATTCTATGGTGGTCTCAGTATCTCTTGCTCTTTTCCTTCACCTTTGGGTACTGGCTTTATATCTTTGAAACCCTCTCCTGGCCTCAAGACAGCTGCCATGTCTTCAGACATCACATCTATGTTTTTGATAGCATACAGGAATAGTGCAAGCTATCTAAGACCGTGCCTTTCTGGAAATAACACCCAATGTCTTTTACATGACATAGGCAAAAATTTCATCACCTTATGGTCTCTGTTATCATGGAGGGTTAAAAATTGTAGTACCTTTGGGGGCAACAGATGTACTTAATGAAGTCAGGGCCCTGTTATGAAGGAAGGAGGGCTGGGTCTGGTGGCACAGACCTTTCATCCCAGCAACTTGGGAGGCTGAGGAAGGATGGGCTTAAGATACTTTGGGTGACAGGGTGAGTTCAAGGCCAACCTGGGCAAGAGAGATCCTGTCACAAAATAAAAAAAATAAAAAGAGGGCTAGGGATAAGGTTCAGTGGTCAAACACCTGCCTAGAATCCCCCAGTGAGGGACTAGGGGTATGGCTCAGTCGTAGAATGCTGGTGTTAATAACGGGGGAAGCTAGCCAGCCTGAGACATGTGGGATGTCTGTACAGCCTTTGTAGTTTTTCTGTAAATCTAAAACTGTTCTAAGACTTTTCTCCTGGGTTCTGGGGAGGGGTACCTTTGGGAGGCAGGTCCTACTTCTTTTTTTCCCTCTCCCCTATGGTGCCCCAGCCTGTGGTAGAAAGCCAGGTGAGGGAGAGGCCTGTAGCTGGAGAGGCATCTCACCTGTGGGTGTTAAGCAGCTGGGTGGCTGGCTGTACCCCAAGGCCAGCCCGGTATGGGAGCTTCGCCATCCCAGGCAACTTGGCTAATCATTCTGTCAGGGCGGCAGGATGTGGCTCAATATAATTATAGTTTGTTCAGTTTAGTCGCTGTCAGCTGAAGGCCCCCAGGGGAGGGTGCAAGGAGGTTCCAAGAGGCATAAAGCTCCCATTAGTAGAGCAAATTGGGCCTGTTTGGCAGCCTGCAGGCCTGGGGAAGGCCTCAGAGCAGATCTTGTCTGAGCCACCCTGTTGAAGAATGCTCCAGGGGCACCCCCAGGGAGGGTCAACTCAGATCTAGAGTGGGCTGAATCCCATCTAGAAATGTTATGGTGCTTTGGAGGTGCCCTTCCCAATTCCAGGCCTCAGTTTCCCCAGCTTTCCAAAGAATGTGGTCTACCTGGCTGGTCAGGAGAGAGAGAGAGAGAGAGAGAGAGAGAGAGAGAGAGAGAGAGAGAGAATCAGGGACTTGGGTTCAACAGCATGTGCCTGCCATCTTGGCACTCAGGAGGCTAAGGCAGGAGGATTGCCAATTCCAGGACAGCCTGGGCTACATGATGCTCTGCCTCAAAACAAAAGCAATAACAAAAACAAATGAGTAAATACAAAGAAACTAAGGCTGCTAATTCGTTGTGCTCATTGATAAGAGCCATGATCACCGGTGGCAAAATGGCTGATCTGGTTTGACTGAAATGTTCCCCACAAGTCTACTGTTTGAATGCCTTGTCCCAAGGAGGTGGCACTGTTGGGAGAGGTTGTCAAACTTTTAAGGGGCCTGTGTGGAGGAAGTGGGTCATTGGGAGTGGGCCTTTAAAAATTATAGAAGGCTCCTGTTTTCCTGTCACATTCTCTCAGTTTACTGATTCACCATGATGTGAGAAGTCTCGGCCACAAACTCCCACTGCCATAACTCCACCATGATGGATGGGAACCCTCTGAAACTGGGAGCCAAGATAAATCCTTCCTTCCATAAGTTGTTTCTGTCAGGTAACTAATACAGTCTCAGCCTCTCTCTCTCTCTCTCTCTCTCTCTCTCTCTCTCTCTCTCATGACTTCTCCTATATATTTTTTGTCTCACGTATATATTATACTCTCTCCCTCTCTCTCTCTCTCTCTCTCTCTCTCTCTCTCTCTCTCTCTCTCTCTCCCCCTTCTCCTCCTCTCTCTTTGGACAAGGTCTCACTATGTAGCTCTTGCTAGCCTAGAATTTTCTATGTAGACCAGGCTGGCCTCATACTCAAAGATATACCTTCCTCTGCCTCTTGAGTGCTGGCATTAAAGGCTTGCACCCTCCATTCCTGTCCACTAATCCATCCATTCTAAGATGGATGGCTATGTCTTGGCTTCCAGAATTTACTGTCCCCAGGCCCATGGTGAAGCAAGGAGATTGCAAATATTTTTACCTGTGGCCCCTTGAAAATCCCTGTGCACCATTCCCAGCACTGAACTACAGCTCTCTTGGGACCACAGTGGCCTAAGGGACACAGCAGACTAGATCCACAGGAAACACCTAAAGACATCAACGGCCATATTCCCAACACTTGCTAGTCAGCTTTGTCAAATCAATACAGTTTACAGACATCTGAGAGGAAAACTTCCATTGAATAATTGTCCTTATCAGGCTGGTCTGTGGGAAGGATTGTCTTGATTGTTAATTGATGCAGAAGGGCCCAGCCTGCTGTGGTGGCATCATTCCCTAGGTCTTGGGCTGTATAAGGAAGCTAGCTGAGCCAGGTATAGTGGCACACATCTTTAATTCCAGAACTCTAGAAGCAGAGACAGGAGGATCTCTGTGAGACTGAGGCCTGCCTGGTTTACATAGTGATATCCAGGCCAGTCAGGGCTGCATAGTGAGACCCTGTCTCAGAAAAAGAAAGCTAGCTGAGTATGATCCTGTGAGTGACCCAGCAAGCAGCATCCTCCATGGTTTCTGCTTCAAGTCCCTGCTTGAGTTCCTGCCCTGACTTCCCTCAGTGATGAACTGTGACCTGGAAGTATAAGCCAGATAAACCGTTTCTTCCCCAAAGCTGCTTTGGTCAAGTGTTTTATCACAGCAACAGAAGGGAAGCAGAACAGAACCCTGTCCATCTCTGAGCTTCACATCTGTCATGTTTTATGAGGAAGTTCCAGATTGGAGATGGACATCCCCAAGTCCTGTGGCCATACCCAGTAAACCATCGAAACTCCTGATAGACCAGAAGCTGATGAGGAGCCAAAGGCTAGGTTTTGATCCAGAGAGGCCAGGAATCCCACAGTCATATTCTAGGCAGAATCCTGATTTACAACCAATTAGTCTTTTTTCCCTCCCTCCCCAAAGGAAATTGCCTCTCTCATCTGTCAGCTCTCTGATTACCAGATATAATGGTCGAGACTTTTTTTTTAGGACAATTGAGGGGTTTTCTGTCTTTTTCCTAAACCCCTGGTGTTGCCTCCTTTCCAGACCCCCAACTATAAGCCTTCCTTTCATTAGAAAAAGCAAGCAAGCAAACCTTTAAAAACAACAAAAATGTATCCCATAATCCTTCCTTCATGTTTTATAGCTGCAGGCCCGAAGGGTGAGCCAAGCCTGGGCATCCATATGATAGAAGCACAGGAGAGCATTGTTCAAAGCACCTGTGGCCAAGGACATCCTGCTTGTAAAAATAGCTGTGGGTTGGATGAAGTCAAGGAGAAAGGGGTCATATCTGTGTGCCCCTTTGGGCCCTGAGGCACCCCTACATCAGAGGAGAGGGAAGCTCAGTGCCAGGCATGGAAACTCTTCCCTGGGTTCTTTGTGGGGTTTTGGCTGTTATCTTTGTGTGTGTGTGTGTGTGTGTGTGTGTGTGTGTGTGTGTGTGTGTGCTTTCCTTAGTTACTTTCTACCCTCTACTTTATTTTTTGAGACAGGGTCTCTCTCTTGGCCTGGAGTTTCCCGATTCACCTGGGCTGGCTGGTGAGTGAGCCCCAGGGATCTGCCTGTCTCTGTCTCCCCAGTGATGGAATTACAAGCACATTGTGTCACACCTAGCTTTTTACATGGGTTCTGGGGGACTGAACTCAGGTCCTTCTGCCTGCAATGAAAACACTTTAGTGACTGAGCTACCCCTCTAGGCCTAGTGATTCGTTGTTTTTTGTTGTTGTTGGCATGGCCTCTCAATGTAGCCCGGGCTGGGCTTGAACTCACGATCTTCCTGCTTCAGCCTTCTGAGTGCTGGGATTACAGGTACCACCATGCCCAGCTCTTCATAGGCCTTGGAGGCCATTCTTTATGATCCAAGTTTCCCTGTGACCCTGACCCCCTCATGCTATGTGACTTCACACCTTTATGAGTGTGCTGGAACATTTCAGAAATTCCCTGTTCTTCTCCCTGGACCACTGACAAACAAATCTCATTGTGTCCTCCAGTATTTTTTTTTTTAAACAGAATCTTTTAAAAAAATGTGTATGATTGTTTTTCCTACATGTATGTAAGTATACCATGTTGTGCAATGCCCACAGAGGCCAGAAAGGGTGTTGAATCTCCCTGGAACTGGAGTCATGGATGGTTGTTAGTTACTATGTGTGTGCTGGGAACTGAACTTAGGTCCTCAGTGATCACAGTGTTCTTAACCTCTGACCCTCTCCAACCCCTTGTTTTTGAGACAGGGTCATGCTATGTAGGCCCGGGCTGACCTAGAATTCTCTATGTAGATCAGGCTGGCCTTGAACTGACAGAGATCTGCCTGAGTCTGCCTCCTGACTGCTCCAGTATTCTTCAAGGCCCAGTGTTTGGACACCAGCCCATAGAGGCCCCTCTGAATGGGTAGTGGCATTTTTTTCCCTGGTCCCTTCACTTTTAGAGCCACACTGACATTCCTGTAGTGCTCAGTATTATTTAATGCATGAATAAAGTCTATAGACGCTATCTAACTAGGTAACTAAAATATTCCCGACCTGGGTGGGGTCATTGAACACGAATTCTCAGCCACCCAGAGCACTCATGTTCAGTCATGGAAGTCAAGGCACATTTGTTGATCTGAGTTGCCTTTGAGATGCAACTCGGGAATGAAGAGCTCCCTGTCACAGGAGGTGTGCAAGGAAGTCCTCTTGAAAGAAAGTCGCAAAGGGCACTGAATCAGTTTCATTTCTCATCAATGTGACAGAATCAACTTAAGACAAGAAGGATTGATTTATTTTGGCTCACAGATTCAGGGGATGTAAGTCCATGATGGCAGGAAAGCACGGTGAAGGAGACAGGCTCTTGTTCATGATGGTGGAAGCTTGTAGGGGCAGCATCTTGCATGGCACCAAACAGGATCTGGAGAGCGAAGTGTAGTGGCACATGACTATAACCCCAGGACTCGGGAAGTAGAGACAGAAGGATCAGGAGCTTGAGAGCATTCTTAACTACACAGAGAGTTCAAAGACAGCCTGGGCTTCATGGCACCCTGTCTCAAGAAACCAATTGTTCTAGTTTCCTTTCTGTTGCTCTATTAACTCATTCTGACCAAAAGCAACATGCGGTTGGGCGGGGGGCGCTGAGGATTTTTTGGATTACAGTTCTAGGTCACAGTCCTCACAGTCCATCACTGAAGGAAGTCAAGGCAGGAAACCTAAAGCAGAAATCATGGAGGAAGGCTGCTTGCTGGCTTGCTTGCATGTTCATGCCTAGCTAGCTTTCTTAAATAGCCCAGGACCACCTGCCCAAGAAACAGCACAACCCACAGTGGGCTGGGCCTTTCTACATCAATTAACAATCAAGACAATTCCCTACAGATATGCCCACAGACCAATCTGATCTGGGAAATCCCTCAGTTGGGACTTCCTTCGCAGATAACTCTGTGCTGTGTCAAGTTGACAATTTAACTTCAACACCAACCAAGCAAACAAAACAAACAAACAAACAAAAAACAAAAAGAAAAGACAACTGGGTACATGGCTCAGCAAGACAGTGCCTGCTGAAATCCCCCAATGAGAGGTTAGGGGCATGGCTCAGTGGTAGAGCACCTGCCTAGAATCTCCCAGTGGGAGCTGGGGGTGTGACTCACTGGAAGTGAGATATCTTTAGATTTTAACCCCCCAATTCCCTTCTACCTCTGTCAGCCAGGTCACATGTCCAGAGCTTCCATAGCCTCCCCAAACAGCCCCACCAGCTGGTAGTATTTTACACACTGAGTCCCTGGACACAGTGGGCACAGATGGGTTCATTGGGCTTCTTGGACCTTATAGGCTGGAAAGTCTGTCAGACAATCAATAAATAGAAGACTGTATATAAATCCTGGGAACCCAGAGGTCTGCCACTGAGCTATATCTGCAGCTGTTTTTCTTTTCTTTTTCTTTAAAATATTTTATTGAGCCGGGCATGGTGGTGCACGCCTGTAGTCCCAGCACTTGGGAGGCAGAGGCAGGCGGCTCTCTATGAGTTCAAGGCCAGCCTGGTCTATATAGTGAGTTCCAGTTCAGCTGGGAATACAGGGAGACCCTGCTTCAAAAAGACAAAAAAAATTTTTTATTTATTTATGTATTTTATGATTGAGTGTATTGCCTGCATGTGTGTAAGTGCACCCATGTTGTGCAATGCCCATGGAGGTCAGAAGAAGGTGTTGGATTCCCCTGGAACTGGAGTTACAGATGGTTGTTAGCCACCATGTGGGTGCTGGGAATTGAACCCAGGTCCTCTGCAGCAGTCAGTGCTTTTAACTGCTGAGTCAGCTTTTAATTCCAGCACTCAGAAGGCAAAGGCAGCCAGATCTTTGAGACTGAGGCCAGCCTGGTCTACACAGCAAATTCCAGGCCAGCTGGGACTACAGGGAGGCCCTGTCTCACACTCAAAAACACCCCAAAACAAATGGGGGCTAGAGAGATGGCTCAGTGGTTAAGAGCACAGACTGCTCTTTTAAAAAAAATTATTCTAAAGAGGCAATTTTAAAATTTTTATTTATTTATTTTTATGTGTATGTATGTATTGCCTGCATGTAGATAAGTGCACCAATGTCGTGCAATGCCCGCAGAGGTCAGAAGAGGCTGTCGGATCCCTGGGACTGGAGTTACAGACAGTTGTTAGCTGCCATGTGGGTTCTGGGATTCGAACCTGGGTCTTCTGCAAGAACAACCAGTGTTCTTAACCGCTGAGCCATCTCTCCAGCCCCAAGAGAGGCAATTTTTAATGCCTTTTCCCAGAAATAACTTGAAGCAGGTTACAAAATAATATATATGCAGTGAAGTTTAAAGGGAAAAATAGGAATAAGAAATCAAAGACCAAAGGATTTGTCAAAATGGGATCAACTTGGGTGGAATAATGAAGGTTTCCATTAGCTTTGTTCCAGACCACTCTTACAGAAGACCTGGTTTCCATTCCCACCACCCACGTGGTGGCTAAGAACCATTCATAACTCAAGTTTCAGGGGATCTGATGCCTTCTTCTGACCTCTGCGGGCATTGCACAATGCAGGTACACTTACGTACATGCAGGCAATACCCACGTGCACATAAAATAAAAATAATAAGTAAAAAAAAATTAAAAAAAACAAACAAAAAAATTGAGACAGGGTCTCATTAACTTGTCTAGCCTGGAATGAAACTTACTATGTAGCTGAGGCTTGTCATGAACTCATGATCCTTCTGCCTCAACCCCCTGAGTAGCTGGGATGATAGGCCTGTACCACCAATGCACAGGAAGAGAGAGATTTGGAGGAAATTTGTGGAAAAGTAGAGGTCACAGAAGTGCTGGTCAAGTCTGGGAGTGGGGAGACTAGGTTGTTTGAGGAGTTTAGAGGTAAGAAGTTAGGGGTGGACTGGGGAGATAGCACAGTCTGTAAAGTGCTTGCCATGCAAATATGAGGATTTGAGTTCAATATCCAGTACCTATGTGAAAAACCAGGTGTGGTAACATATGCTTGTAACCCTAGCACCGGGAAGGCAGAGCCAGGAGGATCCCTGGAGCTTGCTGACCAACCTTGTTGAATCATTGAGTTCCAGGCCAGTGAGAGACAATGCCTCAAAAAAAATGTAGAGGGGCTGGGGAGATGGCTTGGAAGTTAAGAGCACTGACTGTTCTTGCAGAGGACCTGAGTCCGGTCCACAAGTTGGCTAACAACAGTCCATAATTCCAGTTCCAGGGGATCCAGTGCCTTCTTCTGGTCTCTGTGGGCATTGTATGACACAAGTGCACTTACATATATGCAAGCAAAACACATACCCATAAAATAAAAATAAAAAGTAATGAGGTGGACAGCTCTGAAGAAATGACACAAAGTTGACCTCTGGCCTCCACACCATGCATGTGCATGTACACACACACACACACACACATACACACACACACACACACACCACACAAAGAAATTAAGAGTGAGGATTGAAAGGTAGCTTCACCTACCTCAACTGCCATGGGTGTGATTTGAATGACAGTTGTCACTCTTCCCCAGTATATGCTCTGGCATTTCTTGGACTCATTGGAATTTCCAGGGACACTTCGCTGGGCAAGCTGTGAGCTCTCCACTTACTTAGGGCTGTCCAGGGCATTCCGGAGCCCCACCTGGGGTCCTGGATGTGGTCCCTGGAGGCAGGAGCTTAGGTCACAAGTGACAGGCTTCAAGGTCATAGGAAGCAGAAGCAGGAAGCAGAGATACTAGGAGTTAGAGGCCAGGTGGCATTATGGTCCCCCTCATTGGAGCCCAGAGCCAGGAGGCCTCAGGGCCAGGCTCATGACCTGGCAAAAAAGAAAACAGTACTCCACAGCTGGCACAGACAGCGGTCACCTGTGCTGTGCATGTACCCAGAAAGGCACAGGCACCTACTATGGTCACACAGCCTGTCTACCCCATCAGGGTGGGGTGGGCTAAGGTCAGAATCCAAGGCTTCTCTCCCAGCCAGGGTCACCTTCAGTGGTCAGGACCTACCAAATGCCTATGGAATGTGTGCTGTGTCTCCTTGGGGGTCTCTAGGAATGGTATGGTAGGACCTGGTCCCTCATATGGGTGGATGGCTAGAGAGAGTCTAGGGGCATGTCTTAGTGGTAGACACTAAGCAGAGCACCTAACTAGAATCCCCCAATAAGGGACTAGAATGTGTCTCAGTGGTAGAGAACCTGCTTAGAATCCCCCAGTGAGGGGCTAGGGGATATAGCTCAGCAGCAGAGCATTCTAGGTAGAATGCCTGCCTAGAATCTTCTAAAGGGGTGGAGATGTCAAAGGCCAGAGAGGCTGGACAAGATCAGCTTTAGTTATAGATGATTTGGATGAGCATGAGGATAGGAATGTTTGGAAGGGAAGAATCTTCTAGAATAGTGCATCTTTTCATAGTATCACCTTTAACTAGCTCTACCAGTGGTGAGGGTGTGTATGATCATGAATGTCTCAGTTTCCTCACTTGGAAAGTGGGATAAAGATTGATTTTGAAGACCTGTTTTAGAACCTCACCTGACCTTCTGGTTTATAAATGTCAGCCACTCTTCATTTGTTTAGTATCAAACTGTCTCTCCGCAGAGCAGGGATCAGCCGTACCAAGGCTTGTAGGTCTGAAGCCAGCTCTGGGGACAGTTAAGCTCTCTAGCTCTTGGGGACCTGTGGCTGCACTGAGCCGAACCCAACCCTCTGGCCCTGGCAGCAGATCAGATGTGGTTGCCCCACACAGCAGTCAACTTGGCTGGGTGGACTGGGGCTGCCTTTGAGGCTGAGCCGGGACCACTGGAGCCACAATGGACACCTAAGGATGCCATTGTAGGCTCTGCTTTGCTCAGCAGGAGAATACTTGGATGGAGCCAGGGTGGAGTGGGTGGGCCGTTCAAATACTCATCAGTATCAACTGCATATTCCATTTGGCTCAATGCATTCTCAATACTCTAGGCTATGTTGTACGTGTGTGTGTGTGTATGTGTGTGTGTGTGTGTGAGAGAGAGAGAGAGAGAGAGAGAGAGGTGTGTATGTGTATGTGTGTGCACGTGTGTTTGTGTATATCTATGTGTCTATGTGTCTTTTACAGGGATTGAACTTGTGTATGGCTAGGGAAGTCTGCTAGACAAATCCTCTACCTCTGAGCCACACCCCCATCCCCTTACTGGGGGATTCTAGGCAGGTGCTCTACCACTGAGCAACACCCCAGCTCCTCACTGGGGGATTCTAGGCAGGTGCTCTACCACTGAGAGTCATACCCCCAGCTCCTCACTGGGGGATTCTAGGCAAATATTCTACTGGTGAGCCATCCCCTCAATCCCTCACTGGGGAATTCTGGGTAAGTGTTCTGCTGAGGTACATATGCCCCTTTGTTGTTGTTATTGTTGTTTTGAGACAAGGTCTCATGTGGCCCACTCTGGACTTG